CCTTCGAGGAAACAACGCCTCCACCACCTCCTCCACGAAATGTGGCTGAAGAGTTGTCGTGATCGGCTGGGTCCAAGGCCTGGATTTGGCCCTGATGACCTTATAAGGCCGCCCCCACGGATCCCGATCCAGTGAACTCTTAATCGTATTCGTTAATTCGTAAAAAAATTACCGAAAAAGTTTTTGAGGATATATAAGTGACAGTTTAGATGTCTCTTTATTTCGGAATATTTTTGGTTAGTTTGACAAAATAATCTATCCCGTTTTATGAGGTCCATAAAAAGTATACTTTTTTCTTATTCCAAATTTATCTTGTAGTTTTAGTAAAGTTGTGTCCGACCATAAACAGCTAAATTTAAAGTTATTCATTGTATAGAGCGTGTAGGAACATTTTCTAAATTAGTATTTTTTCTCTTCTTATTCATAATTTTAAAGACAGGGTCATTTAATATATCCGGATTTATATTTTCCTTAGACACAAATTTTGTAATTTTTCCAATTTTTTTTTTTCGTCAACGGTGGCAAACGAGCAGAAGGTCTTCTTGATGGGAATATGTTACCGTCGTCCATGAACATCTATAATATAAGAAATGTTTTGTATGCTTTGCCACCCTTGGTATGGTAAGGATGGGAATAAGGAAATGGCAGAAGGTATGACAAACAGATAAAGGGCAACCGACTCTTCCACTGATTGGACGAAACTGGTTTACTTAAAACTTTTATGTCGATCTTATGTGAGGAGGTGGTACTTCCCCAGTGCAGCCAGCTTATGTTGAAACTGTGGTAAGTTGACCACAGTTAAGTTTTATCACCTTTCGGATTTTGTAGTTTATTGTTTTTATTCAATTGTATTTTGATTCTAAAGTTAGTGTTGTAACATTTTAGGCAAAATAAACAGTTTTATCGTGGGCTTTGTCTTAGATATCATAATTATTAATTCATTATCTTCTATATATATAAAAATGGATTGCTGTTCCTTAGTCTCGCTAAAACTCGAGAACAGCTGAACGGATTTATCTTATCTTAGTCTTGAAATGTTCGTGGAGGTTCAGGGAAGGTATAAAAGATGAAAAAAATTGATTCATTTCCGGGAAAACCCTAAAACAGCCCTTTTCTATTTCCCATACAAACGTTTTCTTTGACATTAGATTTGACAACTAACTAATATGTCAATCATTCTGTTCGATTGAAACAAGAGAAACCTGATTATTAATGGCCTCTAAGACGGAATAGAGTTCGCCCGGTCAGCTATACATATATTACTAATGACGAAACTAACGCGGACGAAGTCGCGGGCAAAAACTAGTATATATATAATTTTCCTCAAAGATAGCTAAAAAAACTTTTTGTTATGTTAAATTTTGTAAGTTAGTTTTCTTCTAAGTATTAGTGGGAATCTTTAAAGGCGACCTTTGTTTCCAGATTTATTTTGTTAGCCGTAACTTTTCATATCTTTTACCTATTTAACTTGTTGTTGTCATATTCGTTTTAGAATGTAATTTTCGTAACTCTGACAAGAATTTTCCATCAATTCACTACTTTATTTCCATTTTGTTTACCATTGTCCACACTAATTTTAACAAGCTCATGTTGACAACCTCCTGCTACTGTATAATATAAGGCATTCTAGATTACATCGCACGATTTTTTTAAATCAGAAAAACCTTTTTTTTAAAACTACATAAATAATGTACAACTAATTTTACATACTGAAGTTCAGTAATCTTAATAATTTTAGTATAATATGTGAATTTCAATGCAACCACACAAACCTTTTTGAGATTATTTTATTTACTAATAATAAAGCCAAAGAATACAATTATATCGTCGTCGAAAAGGAGACAATCTCCATAATCACATATTTTGAAATCATTTGAAAAATTACACAGTCACGTTTTTGTTAAACATTCAAAGCACGTATTTTATACTTATTGTATTTTACTACGGTTGCTGAGAGTCCAATCATTCAGTTACGAGAAAAGTCGTCGTAAAGAGACTAGTTCGAAACTTTACAGCCCACCCGTACTTCTGTACGCTTAAAATTTATTTGGCAAAAATATATTTCAAGTGATATATTTTTTCTCGAAAAATAGAAATATATTTTTATGTTTGTAAAAAAGATAAGAATGAAATCTGCAGTCATCGACTCCATTAAAAAAAAACTTCTAAATACAGTCCAGCAATTTACTTAAAGATTTAAAGTTTTTTGTTACGAAATGATACTAAAATTAAAGCCCTTTTTCAATTATTCACTTAGTAAATATACCCAAAGGTAGAGTAAAAGAAATATATGTTAGAAAAAAGACATAAAATAATAATTATTTCCTACTAATACAGACGGGTATAGTTCACGCCTAAAAACTATCTACTCTTTTTACTTTAAACTTTTTTCTATCTTGGTTACAATCCAAGAATTCCGTACGTTACCTGTACAGGTTTTTTTGTACCGAATCTAATTTGACATTCACATTAAAGGGAATAAAGAAAGATCCTCAGGAGTACCATTTAAGCACTCCATTCGCTGAGATCTTTTAAAACCTTTCTCGCCATTAAATCACCTTGGATTTTTGGATAACTTACCGTTTCCTTCGGGAGCAATTGTAATCGGAGGCTTTGATTTCGTTCAGTAGATATTAAATAGGACAGGTTTTGTTTTTTGATTTTCATCGGGATGGACCTTCATATAATTTATTTTCCAATATTGGTAGAAGTAAAATAAACAAATCTATTTAATTTTATATTATCTTTCTAAAAAAAAAACACGTAATGAAAAAAGTTTCTAAAAGGCAATAAATAAATTGTTAAATACTATGCGACGTTATTCTTTAATTCCTTAAATTATAGTTGGTCCTTCTAAGTAAATGTTAAAAATGTATAATAAGTAATATTTTAAAACTCGACTATGTTGCAAGTAAATCACATTGAAAGAAAAATAAACAAATAAGATCGTATTCTTAAGCGAAAAAGCTAAGTTAACAAACTACAATTTTAGCTTTATAATACGCAAAACTTGTTTTTTTATAAGTCAGTTTTTATTAGTGGTTACGACTGTTGCAGTTTTAATTGATTATTTTTTTTATGTTTACAAATAATATGAGAATTTTTAAATTACTTGTAGGTTATTTTTAAATTACTTGTACCTTATATATCAAAAGTTTTAATAGATTATTTTATTAATGAATATGGCAAATTTAAAATAAAATAATATTGTGTCTACTCATATATGTTTACTGAAAAGATTAATTACATATTCAACATCATGCCCGTAAGCTCGTGTTTTGCTTTCGCCACTTCATTATTACATTTAAACACTGAGATCCGGAACATGTATGTGGCATTCTCACTAAAGTCATTATAGCTAAGAATTTAAGGGCTTACATAATAAGCCTTTGTTCGTAGTTTTAAGTTACATATTACAATAAAATATAAAAGTATATATAGTTTTTGTCAGTCGTTGCTAATTCACCATTAATTACCAATTTTAGGTGTTGTGTACCAACTGGGATGTCATAAAAGATTTATTAGAAATAAATTTGATTTTTCTAAATTATTACGGTTTACATTTTTTAAAATTTAATATTTAAAATCTGGTCAAGGAAGCAACTCCCGGAGTGCTTCGGGAAAGCAATTTTTGTACTCATTCCCAAAAAAGATCCGATCCGAAAGATACTAGACCGATAGCTTTAACAAATACTATATCGAAAATCTTTTTCTCGGTTCTACAAACGAGAATGACGCGATTCATGCTCACCAACAACTATTTTAGGCCAAATCACCAGAAAGGGTTTTTACACGGGATTTCTGGATGCCTAAAACACAACACCTTGCTGTCGGAGAGTTTGACAGATGCTAGAAAAAGCGAGCGGCAAATTACTGTTTGTTGGATAGACTTGGAGAACGTGTTCGGGTCGATACAACACGAATTGATGCTATTCGCGCTTAGATGGTACAAATTTCCACCCCTAGTTTGTGATATGATCGCGTCGTATTACTCAAAATTAAGGTTTTCTATAATAACTAAAGAAGGCCCTTCAAAAAGTTTGAGTTATAATGTAGGACTGTTTCAAGGTTGTTGTCTATCTCCAATTGAATTTAATATCGTAATTAACATCTTAGTAGATAAATTAATCTGTAACGAGAAAAAATGGGGTTATGGGTTTAAGTTTAATAATAAATACACGGAATCCATTTTAGCCTCCCCTGACGATCTCGCAATACTGACACGTAACCCCAAACACTGTCAAGTACTATTGGATGAAGTGGATAAATTCTGTGAGTGGACGGATGGATTGAGGACAAAACCCAGTAAATGTCACTGTCTGTGTCTTGGTAGGCGGAATACAAGATACACCTCATACGATCCGGGACTATCGTTAGGCGGTCTATGCATTTCTACGGTTACGAAAAATGCACCATTTAAATTTCTCGATCGTAAGATAGATAATATAGGCCGTACTCCATCTTTAGAAGGAATAGTAGATAGCTTTTTGAACGATCTTAACAAGGTAGATAGCCAACTGATCAGTAACGACAAAAAAGCGTGTATCTACGATTATTACTTAACTTCACGTTTGAATTGGCCTTTCCTCGTCTATGATTTTAATAAAACCCTTTTGTCAAAGTTAGATGCAGGAGTCATAAAGATGTTGAAGTTGTGGCTCGGGCTCGCGCTAACGGCTGATTCATCGGCGTTATTTAGGGGAAGCAATAGTTTTGGGATAAGTCTTAAAAGGCCATCGGAGCTCTATGAACACCTAAGAGTTTCCAAGAGATATATCCTGGGGAAATCCCATGATGACCTAGTGACATCGCTCCCAAAAGATGAAGATGTCCCCGAGCTAGAGTCACGACTTCAATTCCATAAGCATTTTATGATAGGAGCACAAAGTAACAGAGTGGGGTTAGGATCAAATAGGAAAGTCCAAGATGCGGATATATTGAAGTCTTTTATTCGGCAAGACGAAAATGATAAATATAAGATCCATGCAATGAATTTAGAAATGCAGAACGAGTGGTTAGACATAGGAGATTTTTGCATCCCATTAGCATTAAAATGGCGCACTTTAATTTATGATTGGTCGCCAGAATTGCTAAAATTCTATCTCAATGCGTTCCTGATGACTCTCCCAGATCAGAGTAATTTAGTAAGATGGGGTAAAAGTACCGAAAAAACTTGCTACATCTGTGGAAAGGCAGTTGGAACTGTTAAGCATCTGCTGGTGGGATGTAAGGTACTCCTGGACAGCGGTCAATACTCGCGTCGTCACGATAGGGTTCTAGAAGTTATACGTGAAGCGGTTAGTCTTTCGGTAGCCAGAGCGCAAAAGGAAATAACCACAAACGAACGATCAGTAGGTTTTGTGAGAGAAGACACTAGGGCTACAAAATCAAACGTCAAGCCTTACTCCATCCTTAAAGCGGCGTCGGATTGGACTATAATGATGGACACGTATGAAAAACAATATAAAATCCCTGAGAATATTTGTGCGTCGGCCTCCAGACCGGATATATTTTTGTTTTCACGAATTTTAAAGCTCGTAGTGATGATAGAGCTTACAGTCCCTTGGGAAACCAATATCCCCAAAGACAATACCATCAAGGTCAACAAATATTACGAGCTCACAAACGAACTCACTCGAAATAGGTTTGTAGTAGATTTGTACGCGGTAGAGGTGGGAGCGAGAGGTATAACAGCGAAATCTCTCTATAACCTACTAAAGGACTTGGGCTTGTCCAGAACTCACATTAATGCATTCTTGGAATAAACATCGAAGGCAGCCCTAGTAGGTTCTTTTGAAATTTGGTTAGGTAGGGAGAGGAGCTTGGACAGTGGAGGTTAGCGTATAACGCGCGTTAGTTAAGGGGCCCCTTAAACCTACACTTGGGTCGCAAGTCCCAGGCACTGTTGAAGCTGCTCTTCCTGCAACGCGATGGACCCGGCACCCGCACGGTGAATCCATGGAATGCTGAGAAGTTTCGTCTCTTACCCGTTTATAGAACTGTATAGGACTGCGGTTTTAATTCATTAATAGAAAAATAAGTTTCTATCACTCATTCAAAAGTATTATTTATTCCTAATGAGTATATATATATACTAGAGTATATATATACTCCTTTTACGAGCCGTCCAACCGGCCTTAGTGGGGCCGGAAGGGATGTGTGAGACTCGACCTGGGCAGGTCCTTACTCACTAAAACCACTGCGAAAGTCATCGGCCGCTGTGTTGGTATAACCCAGATCTGTCAGTGACAGGGCACATATATTGCCTAATCCATTAGAATCAACTTTTGTTAATTAAATATCTTGATTATAATTGAACAAAAATTCTATTACATTTTGTTTATTTAATTTCTATTACATCTCATTTATACATATAAATTGTTAATTGGAACTTAAGGAAAGTTTGCTGGTTTAAAAAATGGTCAGTACTGGTGATTTCATTCATTGTCAGTATAATGCATTTGTCGCAACATCCTGCAACAGCGTTCACATTAACAAGTCACTGTGAATATACGGATCTGCATCGCAGTAAATATATACAAATATGTTAAGTAATACATAAAGTGCGATTATAACTAATGTTATTTTATTAATGTTTGTTCACAATTTAGTCGAGGTAGAGGTTTGTTTATATTAGAACTTTTTAAGACTTGACTACTATCCTTCATGACAGTAAATATCATTCAGCTTTGGATCGCAAACTTACAGTCTCAGTAAAAATCCATTTAGTTTTTGGATGATACACAGAAATTCGGAGGCAAAACAAGCTATACAATTTCTCTGCCATATGCACGTCGAAATGACTAGATCTCAGCACATTGAAGATGTTTTCAGCAATGTAGTTATGTCTATGGTTATGAAGCCTTATTTAAAAGAAATTAAAGTTAAGAAAATACTAATATTTTTAAAAACAGCTTTCTTCTTATTTTATTGTCTTATTTAAAATCCAATAACTTCAAGGATCTCTGAACATACGTTAGATAGGTGGTTTTGGGTATTTGTAACAGACATGGAAAAATGTTTTCTCACGTCTTAAGCTTTTCTTTCTTTTAATATATAAATGTCATGTCTGGGACTAGATTTGGAATCTTGTCAATTATAAGTACAACAGTAAATCTCCTCATGTTTCATACTTTTACAAATAAAGTTTGACATGCTTATTTTATCAAAAGTTTCATGTTAGGGGTATATGTATATGTGTGTATATAAGGGTATTATTTTTTATTTCAACATCTTTAGTTTATCAGTACCATTGTTCTTATCTTACCATAAAAGTTAACTGAAAAACATTTGTCCACTATTGTAAGTTTAGTGACTGTATTCGAATTATTTCCTTGGGAGAAAAATGTTATAAAATATGAAACATTAAATTTATAACAATTCTGTCATCATAATAAATTTGAAACTTGATTGCATTATCATTTTTAATCATGTTTGAATGAGAAACCATAAAATGTTTGGATGAGATTTTTTAAATTATGATTCGGTTCATTACTTATTCACGAAGATTATCGCGAAAAACTTCTTTCAAACATTTCTCATTTCAATTTGTATTTAAAAAATATATATTTTTTTCATATTTGACAAGTTAAAAAAATAATAATTAATGAATTTTATTGATTCATTTTTGGTTGTTGCTACTATTTTAATGATTATTTACAAAAGTTATGATTTCAAATGTTTATAATCAAGATTCATATTATACATATTAAGGGTGCTTGAGATTTATGCTTTAGCTATGCATACATGCAATGTGTATTTTTTAAATCAATTCGGTCAGAAGAAAATATTTTTAATAAAAATGAAAATTAATTTATCTTTCACATTTTATAGCAAATAATTGCTTCTTGATTAACAGTATATAAACAACTTTGTTTCACATTCCTTGACAAAGAATATATGCTAAAGTCAGTACTATAACAATGTCTTTTTTTTCAGTAATAATTATCACGTTGAATCGAAGCTTGTTTTTATAAAGCGGCACAAATAAATTTCCATCTCCTTCCACTACATTGAAATGTAGTCACCTCTAAAATTTCACGGGCAATTAATTTTTTTCTTAAGGTTTTTTCATTTGAAAAATTTTCATTTTATTTTTTAGGGTATTATTTAAATGCAGATTGATGTCCGGATATTTTAAAATTGAAGTTGTGCTTTACATTATGAATACTCATTCTTAAGCTTCTCAAATATATAATGCTCCATGTCAACTAAGAAATTATTATGACCAACATTAATATTTGCATTGTCCTTCTTTATGTACACATTCTGTTACTATAACAATTGCCAAGGACTCTTTTTTGTTTTTTAATAACAATTTGTCCGACAAAAAGAATGTTAAATTTAATTTGTCTTAAATTTGAAAAGGTATTCTTAAATATAGAATCTCCTGGTGCTAGAGATATTTCCTTTAATAAAACTTGCGGCTTTTGTTTCCTTAATTGAAATCAAATTTCAAGACTGGCACAGCTGTGGCTAGAAAGAGGAAAATTCTAAAAATTATAAATTTATTAAGGTTTTAATCAAAGTTATTATTTTCTAGTATATTTATAATGAAATTGATTTTTTTAAAGATATTAGATACTGATAAATCATCTTTTTAAACACTTCTATACTTGTACTTAATCGTTAGCTGTCTATTTTGGGCACGCGACGTACTTCCAGCAATTTATCACATGCACTCCTCTTCCTTTGTCTGGTTCTATGTTCGATTCATCCACGTTAGTATATAAGATTTTAAAAATCTTATGTAGCTCTATTTTATTTTGTCTTTATACTTTTTTGTGTACTTTGTTAAAGATCTTTCATAACTTCTATATTCATGCTAATTTTAAATTATTTTCTTTCGACTTTCAACCATTTATTTTAAGCCCTTGCCTTGTGAACAATTCATGAAAAGAAAAGCAAATACCCCCATTATATATATAAATGCATAAAACAAAATTTGTTAAAATTTCATTTTAATCAATATACATATTTTAAAAACATAATTAATTAATAGAACAGTTAAAATATTATAATGAATAATAATAATAATATCTTGAATGTACACCCTTAATTTCATAATTATTACAATTTATATAATATGCTATTTTGACAACCTTATCGCAGAAGAGCGATCTCTTCCAGATAACCAACAAGGAAGAATAAAATATTCATATATATAAGTAAAAATATACAAAATTAATATAGTGAACAAATAATGTTGATAATAAATACATTCTTATTATCCAGAATAATACAAGCATATCACATATATTAAAAATAAATAATTTTAAATTATGTCACATATTAACACAAGTTGAGAAAATGTTTCTTTATCAAACGCTTAAATGATTTATCTGTCTTTGTAACTCTAATATGTATAGAGAGTTTTTTCCAGGGTCGAAAAGCAAAGACAGTAAAAGAATTTTTGGAAGAGGTAAATGAGTGGGAACTATTAAAGTAAATTTTTGCTAAGAACGAGGAGAGCGATTGTGAGATTCACAAAGGAACTCGCGCCGTACTTTACATATTGGTACTATATTTCAAGTCAAAATATAAACCTAATGCAAAATGAGTTGATTTTATTTTAATGCCGAAACATTTACTCTACTCAGAAATAAGCAGCAGTTCTACATTGACACAAATAAAAGTATTGAAAAGATTACGGAGTTTATAAATGATGTATCTGGAAATCGTTAGCACACAGGTAGTAGAAAAAAATAAATATTTAAGCCAACAGCGTTCATAAACACTAAAATTAAGAGGGAGAAAGGACGTCATCACGAGTCAATGATAAACATCGTCATAAACATAACTCCAGTCTGAATACAATTTATTCAACAGGCTAAGATGCTAGTGGCCTTGCAACTAACAGTGACCCCAGCCAATGGCTAAAGGAGATTTTTTGAGAAGAAACAATATTACAAGCAAGGCTTTATAATTTACAGAATTGAAAGCAGTGCTGAAATCAAGCCTTGAGAATGGTTCTCCTTTTTTTTAAACTTGGGAAAAATGCATTTATGCATCCCCGCCGTTTTTGAAAACAGCGGGGTATGTGGGACTCGTTTCCACTACCCACTATAAACCCAAGGATGTTCCACGACGGCCCTTGTGTCGGGGCGGGGGATCATTTTCGCACTCCAACCGGCTTCCCCGACAGGCTGGCCCGCCTCTGGGGGCCCTTCGTCTTTTGGGGGGGCACTGGTACCGCCCCCCCCTCATGTGGTGTTCTTTACCACGCACGTGTCCTCGGGAGTTGAACGGGGAACACAACCATGCAACTCCCTTTGCTGTTTAGCGCGGGTTGGAGTCCACGCCACGGGCCATTCTCATGGCGGCCTCAAATTGTCACGGGTGCTTCTGCGGCGGTGCCCAGCACGGCGTCCACGAGAGGGGAGGGATGATGTGGCTTCCCTCACCCTTTCGGCCTCCTCCTTTGCGGATATTACCGCCTCGCAGAAGGCGAGCGCGCCATCCCAGGCCGACTCACGCCGCACCATGCACCACACCATGTGGTGCAGCGATAGGGCCCCAGCCTCCATTGCCCCGACTAGATCACGGCACTGCTCCGCCCATTCTGGATACACCTCCAACGTGTGCTGCGCCGTGTCCTTGGGGCAATCCGTGCAATGGTGGTATGCTGGAGATTCCTCCCGCCCTATTCGACACAGGTACTTCCCGAAGCAAACATGCCCTGAGAGTATCTGTGTTAGGCGGAAGGAGAGGCCACCATGCTGTCTCTGCAGCCAATGCGACATGTCGGGCCTTACCCGTGTCCCGC